GATGGTGGCTTTGACCAAGAAATGAGAGGAGGTCATAGTCTGGATACATTTGACAGATGGACTGGATAGATAGCGTGACTGCCCAAGGGATTCTTCCTGCTTACTGCATCCATGCACCGTGGTCAGCAGTGTCCCGCCGCTAGAGATGGTGCCAGAGTCAGCCCCCATCTCTCTGCCAGGAGAACTAGGCAGCCGCTTGGGCTGGCCTCCAGGTCCGTTGCCAGCGAGGGGCTACCGAACCATGCACAGGTAGCCAAGAGTACAATCCCACATGAGACCCCAAATTTGTTACCACCCAAGGGGTTATTCCTGCCCACTGCATAAAGAAAGACCATAGCATTGTCGTAGAGAAAGAATTTAATAGACACGAGGCCAGCCACGCCACATGGGAGATGGAGTTCGTACTCATATCATCTTGTTCAAAGCTCATAGGTTAGGGATTTTTCAAAGGCAGTTTGGGGGAAGGGGTCGGGGTGGACAGGTAACAGGTGCTTGCTGCTGATTGGTTGGGGCAGAGAGGAAATGGTAATCGGTTGAAGCTGTCCTCCTGTGGGGCTGAATTGCTTCTGGGTGGAGCCATCAGGTCCAGGTGGAGCCATGGGTGTCAAATATGCAAAAAACCTGGAAAGATATCTCAAAAGGCCTATCTATAATAGTAGTGTTGTGTTGGGAAAGTTGCATATCTTATAACCTCCGGAATAATGTCTGCACCTTAGTAGGATTCAGGCTCTTCTCCCCACACCCTGATGGTCCCCTATTAGCTTTACAAAAGTGGTTGAGTTTTGGGCAAGGCCTATTATCATTTAAACTGTAGCCTAAATATCTTCTAAAGTTAGCTTGACCCAATAGCCCAGGAATAATTAAGGGAAAGGGAAGATGGAGGTTGGGTTAGCTTAGCTTGCTGTTATAATTTTCTCACTGATATACCTTTTGAAAAATTTTTGCAAATAATTTTCTCACTGATATACTTTTTGCAAAGGTGGTTTCAGTAGGATGGATGAGAGAGGGGATGACCAACTGAAGTTCCTCATCTAAGCCAAAGCCTTCCCAATCTCAAGGGCTTTGTCAGAACGTCTTTTCCATCCTCCCTGCAGCAGGCTTCTTTAGGTCTGGGCTTGACTGTCACCTCCCCAGAGAGGGCTTTGCCGGACCCCAGTTCAAGTGTGGTCCCCTGTAATTCTCATTCCCGTCCATGTGGATGTTGTACTCAAACACAAGTTAGTGGCCTGCTTAGGTTTTGTCTGTTGGCTTGATTTGGGTCTGTGCCCCCAACTGGATGCATCAAGCTCCATGAGAGCAGAGACCTGGTTTCTCTTGTGCAGTGCCACATCCCCAGAACCAAGCTCAGGGCCACTCAGAGGAGGTGCCCACATGATATTTAAATGAGTGCATGTTTACATGAGTATATAAAATATCTAACAAGGCATTTGTTTCAGCAAGGAGGGAAGGAAGGGAGGGAGGAATGGAGGGAGCGAGGAAGGAAGGATGGAAGAAGGAAGGAAGGAAGGAAGGAAGGGAGGGAGGGAGGAAGGGAAGGAAGCAGAATTTATGGAATTTGCGAACTCAGCATTTAAACCCAGGTTTGCTTACCCAAATCTCACTCACTTTCTACTTCCCTCCTCCACCCTACACAGCCATCAATCAATGAACAAACCCATCCTGAGGCTGGCTGGGGAAACTGAGTCCTTAAAATGCTTACAATGTAACTGAGGATGTTAAACTAAGATGTACATAACACAACAGTGACCATGATTAAAAAAAAAAATTCATTAGCAAATTTTGTTGTAGAAGACGATCTAATTATAAGGAAAAATGTTTATGACACAGTTTTAAAAGAACGTTTTAGAAAACAGCATGTAAAATATAATCTCCTTCCTAAAAATATATATGTACATAGCAAATGTAGTGGAAGATTTTACATCAAAATGTGAGCTGGGTGTATTTGACTGGGGTGATTGCTTGTATTAATTTGGCTAGTTTGTTTATTTAAATTTTCTGTTGTGATTCGGTATCACTCTTGGAGCAATACAAAAGTAATTAAAATTATATTTCTGCATACATATAAGTCTACAGTGAGCTGCAAGGTCAGCAGCGATTCCCATAGAAGGGGCAGGCCAGTGGTCAGGCAAGGCTTCCAGAAGGAGGGAAGGCGTGGACAGAGGTGGAGCACGCAGGTGAAAGGACATTTCCTGCTGCCGTTTTCCCAGTGACGCTGGGTGGTGGCCCCAGACTCCTCTCGGGTGTTCTGCCTCTTCAAGCCTCTGAGGGAGAAATGCAACTTGTTGGCTGGGTCCCTGAGAGGACCCTCCTGCCTGGCTTTGACCTAGCGGTCTCTTGGCCTCCACTGCCTTCATTCCAAAACACCCCTGAAAGCATCCTTCCTCAGAAGACCCAGGAGAAGCTCACCATTCCATATCAGCTAGGGATGTGTGAAAACGTGACCCACATGTCGCCATATGCAATGACGCAGAGAACAGGAGTCACAGTGAGAGGGCCGCGTGGGAGACCCACTCTCCACTGCTTAGCTAGGCGACCCCAGGGGAGTCACTTCATCTCAAAGCATTAGTTGTTTGTAAAATGGGGTAATGAACCTCTCACAGGACTGCAGTAAGGGCAAAGGAAGATAACTTTCGTGAAATTAATGGGAAAAGGCCAGAAAAGCTGCTTTCTAGACAGTAACTCACGCACAAATGTTAGCAAATAATGATCCCATGGAAATTCAGTGCAGGACTCACTCTTGCTGGTAACAGTGAAGGAGAGCACAAAAGTCCCTGTCCACAGGGGCCAGGATCCCTGGGGGTCCCGAGGCCTGGGCAGAAGGCACTAGGGATGCGCCCAGCAGGGCCTTAGTTACTGCCAGCTTGCTCAGCATGGAGGAAACCTCTGCAGAGGAGGGGTGGACTGATGAAGGGGAGCAGCAGAAGACAATTTCACACCGAGTGCTTACAAAGTGCTGGGAACCGTATTATCTCTAATATAAGACCCTGCCAGGTAGTTATCATCTTCATCATTTTAAAAATGAGTAAAGTGAGGCACAGAGTGTTATGCAACCTGTGCAAGGTCACACAGCCAGAACATGGCCTCTGTACCTTCATTCTATGCACACTAATCTCCATCCCCAGGGCCGAGGGGCTGCAACCGGATGGTTAGGTTTAGTCTTAGCCCTGAGGGTGAGGTGGGGAGGGGACAACGGTGACTTGAAAAGCTCTCTGTTCCCCTTGGCAGCTGTCTTTCCATTCTCACCCCCTCCTGCATCCCTCTGCCAGGCCTGTTGATCACAGAGGCACCATCCCATCTGCTCAGCCTAGAAGTTCAGAATCTCCCGTGGTTTCTGAAGCCTCCAACACTATTCTTTGTGACACTCTAAATACAGCAGCTTCTCCTCCTGGGGATGACAGAGGGTCAGTCAGAGCCCTGGGCCTCTGCTCCCAACCCCTGAGCCCAACCCTGTTCCCAAGGCTGCACACTACAAATCCAGCCCCTTATTGGAAGGACATGGTGGGAAGCGGGGAAGGCAGAGAGGATAGGGGATACAGGAATTGCTCCTAGGAAGGGAGGTCCTGAGGTCCAGAGAGGGGAACAACTTCAGGCCTGGCTCATGGAGACGTGTCCAGCCTTAGAGGGAGCAGGATCAAGCAGAGTTCCAGGTGCCGGGTGGGGCAGAAAAGGAGGGTGGTCCCAGAGCCCCGTCTAAGTCCCTGCAGGAAATCTCTGAGGAGGAGCTGGCTGGGGCAGGCTGGGGTGCAAAATGCCTGTTCACTGGCTGTGGGGCAGGAGAGGGCGGAAGCTAAGAGGGGAGTTCTTGTCTGAAGCTCATCCCTACGCTGATGGCCCAGAGTGCAGCTAGGAGGTATGGACTCTGAAGCTGGACTGCCTGGGTTGGAACCCTGGCTCTGTTACTTAATAGATTCTCAGGTAAATGAGTTAAACCTCTCCGTGCCTTAGTTTCTCCATGTTTACAAGGAATGATAATCTCACCTGCCTCAGTGTTGATAAGAGAAAGGAGATGAGTGTGTGTGGGTAAAATGTTCACAGGGAGCCCGGGGTGCGGTCGGCACTGCCCAGTCCAGCGACCGGCACACCTTTTCGGTAAAGGACCAGAGGGTCAATATTTTAGGCTTTGCTAGCCAGATGGTCTCCGTTGAATATTCTTTTTGTATTCTTCAACCCTTTAGAGAGACGTAAAAATTGTTCTTCACTCAGAGTTCTTACAAGCACAGAACACTGACCAGATTTAGCCCAAAGGCTGTAGTGTTTCTTTGTTTCTTTGTTTGTTTGTTTGTTTGTTTGTTTTGAGAGAGAGTCTCACTCTGTCGCCCAGGCTGGAGTTCAGTGGTGTGATCTCAGCTCCCTGCAGCCTCCACCTCCTAGGTTCAAGAGACTCTCTTGCCTCAGTCTTCCAAGTAGGTGGAATTACAGGTGTGCGCTACCATGTCTGGCGAATTTTTGTATTTTTAGTAGAGACGGGGTTTTGCCATGTTGGCCAGGCTGGTCTCGAACTTTCTACCTCAAGTGATCCACCCGCCTCGGCCTCCTAAAGTTCTGGGATTACAGGCATGAGCCACCGTGCCTGGCAAAGGCTATAGTTTAAGGACCTCTGATCTAGACTAATGGTGACCCTAGAGTTGCAGGTGTGGTTAGGGGCAGGCATGTTGGCTGGCTTCAGTTGGAAGCAGTTTCTAGGCCAGCCTGGTGAGGCAGAGGAAACATGGCAAGACTGGGGGCCTGGGTGGGGTGGAGCACAGCCTGCTGTGAGCTCTCGTGCTGAGCCCTGGACCCACCTGCTGCCATTATTCCCATCGCGGTTTAAGAAGCACCTGAGGCTGAGCCTCTGAGGACAATGATAATGGACAGTGTGCCATTCCGAAGGGATGACCCCCCACACATCCTCTCATAAACATTTACAAGTTGTTTACTATATGCTAAGCACTGGCCTAAGCCATGAACAAGGCAAAGGGGCCCGGGCTCGACCCCTGGAGGTCTCAGCTGGCAGGTTGCACCTTTGACAGCCCCAAGTTGGGTCTTCATCCTGAGTCTCGAGATGCACTAGCCTCAGTGAACTCCTCAGCCTCCAAGGGTTCCTGGGGTGATCCTCTTGGTGGGGCTTGTGAATCTGGAGCCCATTATTCTGTCCTTCTGGAGAGAAAGAGAAAAAGAAAAAAAAGATCCACTGACTATAAAATGGTAGCAGGATGGTGGCCCACCCGCCTTGCTCAGCTGGTACAGGGGACAGGGCACCCTTCTAATGAGGACCTTAGAGCATCTGACACATGTTCACTCATTCCAGAAAGCTCTCCTTCACCACTTTAGACACCAAGGTCACGAGAGGCTCCTAACTGTGGGCCCTGTCCATCAAAGAGATTGACAACATATAGTGAATGTTGCCATTTTACAGATTGGAAAACTGAGTTTGAATAAAGCTAACTAAGGTGTCTAAGATCATGCCATTCACCATGATGGAAAAGTAAATCAGAATCTTATGTACCCTGTGCCCCACAAACACAGTGGACTCCTTCCTGTACCACACCAGCATTCTATTCTGTAATATTACAAAGCACAGTTGCACCTGGTTGGTTTTCTTTTTTATCTTAACTCATGTCCTCTGTGCCCTGAGCCTACTTGTTGCAGGACCCTTGGTTAATCCCCAATGAATATACCAGCAATTGACAGGTGGGTTGAGTTTCTTTTTACACAGAAATGAAAGTAACACCATCTTACATATGAGATCTGGAGGGCACAAAGAAGCCAGTTCTGACCATGCCGAAAGAGTGTGGTGGAATTGGAATGGAAAAGAAAAGCCTACATAAATATCTTAGAAAGAGCATCAAGAATGCGTACCTCAAGCTGGTTCCTTGTTTTCACCTGTGACTGACCGCAACACTAACAAACAAGGGAAAATGAAATCCGTGATCACCCTCAAACAGGGTCACCCTGACATTCAGAGCAGAAACCACAAAGTTTTGCTGTAAAGAGCCAGACAGTATATATTTTAGGCTTGGTAGGGCACAGGTCTGCCTCAGATTCCATTCTCCCACTACAGCAGGAAAGCAGCCACAGACAATATGTAAAGAAATGGACATCGCTATGTTCCAATAAAACTTTATTTACAAAAACAGGCTGTGGGCCATAGTGTGCCAATTCCTGGTCGAGTACAGACAATGGCAATGTGACCACTTAATGAGATTCTATCGTGTGCCAGGAACTCTACATCTTTTAATCTCCTTTCTAAGGCAGGTATTTGCTGAGTGCTCACTCCAGGCCAGGCACTGTTCTAGAAGCTGGGCTTCAATACAGAAAAAGACAAAACCCTGCTCCGTCAAGCTTACATGGTGGAGAACCCTGCCAACACCCCACCTCCACCCCAGGAAAAAGCATCACCTCCACTTTTCAGAAAAAGAAAAAGGTACGAATCCTAGAACTTGTGAGGGGCACAGCTGGGATTCCAGCCCAGATTCCAAATCTCGGTTCTTTTCAGGGTGCCATACCATCTCTCAAAGCAGAATCAGGACCCTCAATTTCAGCCCAGAGGCTGCATCTCATTTTCAGCCAAGCCAAACTGCAGCTGCAATCTTTTACGCAACAGCAACCCAAGTTTTAATGCCCAAAGCAAGAAAAGATGCGGTGGAAGCTGTCCAGCCACAGATAAAACTAATAAAAGCGCTCTCCGGGGCAGGCCATGCAGGGCTGGCCCCATCCACGTCTGGAACCAAGAGATGCAAAAAACGCAATGGATTTAAACTCTGCCTGTCCACCAACAGTCCCATAGACTGAGAGGTCTGGGGGAGGCTCTGGAGCAGGAAGGTGGAGCTGACAAACACATTTCTGCTGTTTTGAGGCTGGGTATGGGCATGGCAGTGGTTCAGAGTCTCCCTGCTATCCTTTTTCTTATGGTTTTACGTGGCTTGGACCCCGAAATAAAAGAGCGCTCTGTGAAAGGGAATGAAGACAAGGAGGAACACAGAGTAGAAGAAAAAACCTTTCTTGAGTGCCCACTAGATATCAAGCATGTTAACATTTTACCCACACACGATGGGCAGGTATTCGTCATTGCTCCTGTTTCATAGACCAAGGATCAGCACAAAATGTTTTTGTAATGGGCCAAGTAGTAAATATTTTGGTTTTGTGGGCCATCCTATCTCTGTTGAAACTACTCAACTGTGCCATGATTGAGTGAAAGCTCTGCACACACCAACTATAGCTTGTGTAGATAATACATAAATGAATGAGCATAGTTGTGTGCCAATAAAACTTTATTTATAAATGCTAATGTTAGATTTTCCTATAATTTTCTTGCTATAAAATTATACTTCCTGTGATTTTTTAATTTAAACATGTAAAAATGTAAATGTTTCTATTTGCATTTAATTTACATTTACATTGAAAAATGTAACATTTTCTATGTAAAAACCATTTTAAAATGTAGCAACCATCTAAGGATGGTTAGTGTGCAAACTGTACAAAAACAGGCAGTAGGCTGCATTTAACTTGTGGATCATAGTTTGCTGACCCCGTTCTAGAAGAATTCACAGCTGTCATTTATGTGACCTGGCAACCTGATGCAGAGTCTAGGTTTGCAGGTGCATATGCCATGCTGCTGATGTGGCATTAGGAGGGGTGGTGAGGGCTATAGCAAAAACCTATCCATTTTGACAACTTCAAGTAGAACAGTAAAGGCCTTTATCCATTCAATCATTCAATCATTTATTCATTGGTTCCTCAAAATGTGCAGAGCTGGCAGGGCGCAGTGGCTCACACCTGTAATCCCAGCACTTTGGGAGGCCAAGGCGGGCAGATCACCTGAGGTCAGAAGTTTGAGACCACCTTGGCCAACATGGTGAAATCCCGTCCCTACTAAAAATACAAAAATTAACTGGGCATGGTGGTGCGCGACTGTAATCCCAGTTACTTAGGAGGCTGAGGCAGGAGAATCGCTTGAACCTGGGAGGCAGAGGTTGCAGAGGGCCGAGACGACGCCGTGGCACTCCAGCCTGGGTGACAGGGCTAGACTCTGTCTCAAAAAAAGAAAAAAATGTGCAGAGCCCTGAGGCAGGTGATATTCATGCCAAAGGCCTCCTTCAAGCCTTACAACAACTCTTCTTTTTTGAGTCGAAGTCTTGCTCTTGTCCCACAGGCTGGAGTTCAATGGCGCGATCTCAGCTCACTGCAACCTCTGCCTGCTGGATTCAAGCGATTCTCCTGTCTCAGCCTCTGGAGTAGCTGGGACTACAGGCACCTGCCACCATATCTGGCTAATTTTTGTATTTTTAGTAGAGATGGAGTTTCATCATGTTGGCCAGGCTGGTCTTGAACTCCTGACCTCAGGTGATCCACCCGCCTTGGCCTCCTAAAGGTCTGGGATTACAGGCATGAGCCACTGTGCCCGGCCAAGCCTTACAGAAACTCTTAAGAGGGTTGGTTATTTACAATGCTTATCCCCATTTTACTGATGGGAGAACAGAAGCATGGAGAGAAGCCCAAGCTGTTTCCATGATCCAAGCTGCTTAGTCATTGTGAGGGTAGACTCTTTTCTTTAAGGAACATGGCAGCAAATAACCAAAATAGAAAAAAAAAAAAAAAAAAGAAAAGATCAAAAAAGAAAGAGAGATCTTAAAGTTGCATACAAGTATTATTCCAGATGTGGCAGTCGGAAAAGCTTGGTGGAAAAGGCATCTGGGCAGGATAGGAGAGGGCAGCATTTCAGCCACAGGAGGTGGGGGCACCACGGGCAGCAAGAAACAGAAAGAACAGGAAAAATAAAGCCCCAGAGAGCCGGAGGGAAGACTGAGTAGATGGCAGGAGATCTCTTGGCTGTGCAAAAGTTACTAGGTTGGTGCAAAAGTAATTGCGGTTTTTGCCATTAAAGGTAATGGCAAAAACCGCAATTACTTTTGCACCAACCTAATAGTATGGACACTGGGAGGTGGGCTGGATCAGTCAGAGGAAGGCCTGAGGCCCCTGCCCAGGGGAGGGGAAAGGAAGAGCTTCAGGGAGTTGGAGACACCTGGGCCATCTGTCTGATGTGACAATTAAGCAAAGGTTGGTGTGTTGGTAGTACAAGACTAGAGAGTTTCAGAAGGTGCTGGAAGGGGAGATGGAAAAGGAGATAGAGAAAATTAAATGAGACACGGCAGGGGGGCTTGCTGACAGCTGGAAATTCTGAGCTTAAGGGTTCTTTGCAGCTTCCCAGCCCCTGCACTGGGAGGGTCAGCTGGGTCCGCCCGGTGGGATGGAGGGGTAGGTGTCACCACCAGGCCCAAAGCTTGCACACGGCCCAGGGGACAAGGGGAGAGCTCAGTCCAGTTGTTGACCTGGTGGGCTTCGGCTTTCTCAAACTCCTCTCATATTCCCACCCTCACAACCTTATGAGGACAGCTTTCAGCAACCCCACAGGACAACGGGGACACTGAGACCCACAGGCCACAAAGCCTGGAATGGAGACATACCCTGAGTTTTCCTATGACTGCTAATGATGCCAGCTGGCACCTGTGGGTGCCAGGCACTGGGCTAAGCTTTTACCATCCTCACAACTTTACAAAAATTTATTACTTATTATAAATGTATGTATATATAAATGAAATACTGTATATTATCCTGATATATAACTTTAAAGGTAGAGCAGTTGTTCTGTCCCACACTGAGTATGCAGCCAGGATTGAACCCAGCTGTTTTCTTTGTCACCTTACCGCCCTTTCATGTATCCCTCTAGAGTCTAAGCAGCACCTCTGTAGAACAGAGAGTTATCAAGAATGAAGAAAAAGGGAGAAGCAGCTGTCTTGGGGACACTGGAGCCCCATTATGTCCCCAGATGAGAATGTAAAGGACATGTTGGGGGAGGGGCGGGTGAGCCAGGGTGCTGTGTGATGCAGGCGCTGGAGGATGATTCGGAATAAAGGTCAGGCTTCTCCAGCGTGAGAAAGCCAGCTGGAGAGGAGTGATTCCCTCACCCACAGCAGCACAGGCTTAGCCAACAGCCAGGACCAGTGCCGGACTTGGCCGAGAGTGCAGGTTGTATAATCATCTCAGCCCTGCCGGTCACTGCGGAGCACCGGGGCAACCTTGGGACAGGAAAAACAAACTCATGAATGCCTGCCAGGCCGGGACAATCTGAGGAGTAAACAGAGGAGTGATCGCGCCCCAGGGACCTAACACTCCTCCCTGTCCTGCTGGGCTAATAATCATCACAGTAACTAACATTTAAGGAGCACTCACATGCCAGGCACGTGTGCTCAGAGCTTTAGACACATTCTCCCTTTAATCCTCCAGGAAAGTCTATGGGAAAGGTGAAAAAATTATTCCCATTTTACAGAGGAGGATCAGGAACTGACCTGGGATCACCGAGCTATTTAAATAGAGGAGCTGGAATAGAAACCCGGCAACCTGACCCCACAAGCTGCACCCATGACCTCCATGACACAGGGAGGCCGCTGGGCATGTGGCAATAGAAAAAAACATATATATATATATATTTAGGAGCCTAGATTAAGTGGAATCAGATCTTAGCTCCACTGCTGCTCGCTGGATGATCCTGGATTAACTATGCTCAGCAACTGTTGTCTCAGTGGTATGGTGGGGACCCCAGGTCCTAGGGTGGTAATGAGCATGGAGGGTGACATTAATGAGCAAAGTGTCTGCCAGTAGTTCCTTCATAACTGGTGTCTGATCTCACGGGACCCACAGACCCTGCTACCTCCCAGAATATGACACGGGTCCTCCCTGAACCTCTGACTTCTCCTCAGCCCCCCATCCTCCTGGACTGCACTCTCTGTTTGGTGAACTCCCAAAGAGGATTCCAAAGCCTAACAAGAGACCAATGGCTCCGTAAGAAACACATTCTCTGATGACTCAGCCCCCCATCAAAGTCAGGCTTTACCTTTTCTCTTCCATTAATTGCCAATTTATTATACTCCATCCATGGAACAATAAGGGGAATGTGAAAGGTGGGCAATTCGACTGCATCAATATGTCTGCTCTCTGGAAGTCTGGACACATAGTCTTTTGAGAAAAGAAACAGAAACCGTAAGTTCACCAAAGGCGGGTAAAGACAGTCTTCTGTAGAGTTACCCAAACGTATTTGAAAGTAAAACCTCCCGTCAGGCCCTCCTTGGAGGTAACGAATTCCATCAATATAGAAAACTGCTGGCCCTGGGAAAGACTTTTTTCTTTATCTGCAAAATATCTCCCTACTACTCCATAAGCATCCAGGTCCCTGTCCCATAGATGGAGTGAGGTGCAGGGGAAGGCCCACGCATAGAACTGAATTCAACATAATTGGTTTTCTCTGCAATCTTTTGAAATAAAATCCGAGGATTTAGTTATATGCATTTTAAAAGCATTATTCTGAAAAGGTGTCCATAGCTTCTCTAGTCTGCCGAAAGGGTTTATGGTACAAAAAAATGTTCCAAGCCTTTCTGATCCTAGTGGTTGAGGCCCTAGTGAACTCACAAGTTCCTTACTCTTCATGAAATCACTCTCTAATGGTTTTTAATAGGCTTATAGATAGGATCCTGTTGTTTTCCCCTTTCAGCTTCCCTGTGGAAATCCTCCTGGTTTATCTGCAAATGTGTGTAACAGAGAAAGAGAGAGGGAGAAACAAAGAAAGAACGATTTTCTTCTAATCTCGACATACTTTTCCAATTATGACCTCCCCACCCTGCTCTGCATAACTGTGTGTTTAATCATCTGTACACCCTCATGGTCTGCAAAGTCCAGAAGGGCAGCGGCAATGTTGAATCCTTGCGTCCCAGTTATAGATCGAACATGTGTGTCCTCCCAAAATTCATACGCTGAACTTCTAACCTCCAGGGTAATGGTATTGGGAGGTGGGGCCTTTGGGGGGTGATGGTCACGACAGTGGAGTCCTCCTCATGATTGGGATTGGTACCATTATTGGGGGATGATGGTCATGACAGTGGATCCCTCATGATTGAGATGAGTACCATTATAAAAGCGACCTCAGAGAGCTCTCCTGCCCTTTCCTTCACATGAGGACACTGCAAAAAAGCAATCATTTATGAACGAGGAAATGGTCCTTCACCAAACACAGAATCTGTCAGTACCTTGATCTTGGACTTCCAAGCCTCCAGAACTGAGAGAAGTTGACTTAGTCTTACAGTGTTCTGTTGTAGCAGCCAAAATGGACTAAGACAGTAGGTCTCTGATCAGATCAGTTTTGACTGAGTGCTTGAAGAGGAGGGGTCTTACCGCGTATAGCTTCTCTTGTTTCCAAGGGTAAATTTCCCTTCCTCCAGCAAACCTGAAGCTATTTTCCCTTGACGATATGTTTAGAGTTCTTGGTCTTTTCTTCTTATTTGGGCCACATGGAGGACAAGCTGGCACAGCACCTGCCTCCTGGAGTCAGGGCCTGGCAGTGCCTTCTCACCCACGGGGACTTTTTCCTTCTCTCCGCCTCTGAACTCACCGCAGAATGAAGACTACATTCTTTCCAGAAACCGCTGGTCCACACAACTAGCAAAATAGCCTCTTGCTTGTGGGTTTATCTGGTAATCACGGCAATAAATGAAAGAACAAGCTTTTCTTGAACAGTGAGTCTATACCAGGCTGAGTACTGGACCTTTCACAGTTAATATTTATGGAACACTCCATCCCCAAACTGCAGAGGACACATTCTTTTCAGGTGCCTGTGCAACATTTGTCACAGGACACTGAGCCCTAAAATAACCTCAATAATTTTCAAAGGACTGGAGTCATGCACAGCATCCTCTCTGCAGACAATGGAAAGAAACTAGAAGTTGACAATAGTAAGTGGGTAGACAATCCCCGAATACCTGCAAATGGGGAACCTCGCTCAGTGCTTGGCACAAAGTAGCCTTTCAATAATATTAGCTCCATCCCCTAACCCCTGCACCAACATCTTTCTCCACCTTGGGTAAGACCAACTCCTCTGGTGCTGCTGAAGGTGAAGGTAAACCAGCAAGGACATTGCTGAAGCCCTGAGTGTGTCTCTCACTGGCAGTCTGCACCGGGAGCTGGGACCGTGAATTAACCTTGGCCCCTGGCTGAGCCCATGCGCTTTCACCAGATCCACACTTAGACAGGAAGATTTCCACCATTCTGCCAAACAGGGCACTTACCTTGCTGAGGGGGCTGCTCATGTATGGGGTGAGGCTTGATTTAGTAATGGATCTTGTTCGGCTTACTCAGAATATTCTCGGGCAAATAAAATCAAACTTGTTTTGTTTTGTTTGCAGAATTTAACTGTTACGTCTTGAGGGAAAAAACCAAGTAGCTGCTGGGCACGGTGGCTTACACCCGTAATCCCAGTACTTTAGGAGGCCGAGGTGGGCAGATCACTTGAGGTCAGGAGTTCGAGACCACCCTGGACAACATGGTGAAACTCTATCTCTACTAAAAATACAAAAATTAGCCAGGCGTGGTGGCACGTGTCTGTCATCCCAGTTACTCGGGAGCTTGAGGCAGGAGAATGCTTGAACCTGGGAGGCAGAAGGCGGAGGTTGCAGTGAGCCAAGATCTCTCCACTGCTCTCTAGCCTGGGAGACAGAGCGAGACTCCACCTCAAAAAAAAAAAAAAAAATGAGTGCAGCAACACAGAAAACCAGCAAAAATCTTGGTGAGTCAATCATTCAAAGTAAATGGCAGGAGTGGCCCTGGCATTCTTTGGGTTGGAGAATGAGCTGGGCCCTTAGTTTTACTTAAGAGTTTGCTTGAGCTTTTCAAGGCCAATAATGAGAGTGATCCACGTTTTTGGTTCATTAACTAAACGGGCAGTTGTGGTGTTAATAATCTGCCACCCATAAGAGCCAGGTGGAGGGACACATTATCGCCAGATGCTAGAAATGTGTAAACAACTACAGTTTACAGAGACAAAGCTGGTTGCAGCATCATTTTCCTACAAACTAGGATAATGTCACCTAGACACAAATGAGTGGAAAATTAAGAACTGAATTAAAACACATCTAAAGAGACTGATACACGACAAAACATCCTTGGAAATCAGTTCATGGAGGCTTTCACTGGGATTCCATCGAGGGAAGGGAGTTTAAAAAGGTACGGTTACAGCCCAGTTCTGTCACATCTGAGCTGTGGAACCATGGGCAAGAGGTTTCACCTCAGTTTCCTCATCTGTGAAAAGAGGGTGGCAGTGAAACCCCTACCTCAGAGGGCTGTTGAAGACTGAGATAATGCACAAAGATGCTCCACAAGTGCCAATCACAACAGTAAACAATACTGAGCAGTGACCGTGCAATCTAAGCAAAGACGCTGCATTATGACATTTCTGAGAAGTAGATAGGAAACTTAAAGCTCAGGAAAGCTAAGACATTTGTCCAAGGACACAGCTGTAAGTCATAGAGATGGAATTCAAACTCAGTCTAACTCTAGAACCTCAAGGAACTTCCAGTCCAATAGGAGTAATCAACAGAAACCACTCCCAACAATTCCAGGGCAGCCAGCCTTGCAGCCCCAGGGACAATATGCTGGAGCCAAATGCAGCCAGGGGCCACCCTGTAGGAACAAGGAGTTAAGCTATCCCATTTGAGCTGGGTCTTGAAGGATGTTTTGGTTTTCACCAGAAAGAGGAGGAGGTCAGAACGGCCTTATCGGAAAACCCATACTAAACAAAGTAAGATGGTATGGATTAAAAGAAATTCTGTTTACGTAAAGCTGACAAGACAGCTGTTGTGGTGTGAGCTTTGGGCTTGTTGGAGCCTCTTATGAACTATTTCTGTGTCTTTGCAAACATTCTGGTTAGTATAGTGCTATGGGTATAAGTACAGGCTCTGGTGTCTGATGGTCTAAGTTGACATAATCAGCTGTGTGACTTTGGGGAAGAGACTTAACCTCTCTGGTCCTGAAGTGGGTTTTCCTTTCACATGAGGATTAGCATAGCAGCACTCTGGGCAGCTGTACTAACTGCAGAGCTCCATGTGAACACTTAGCATCAAGCCTGCTAGGAAGCTGATGCTTATGTTTCTGTCCCACTAGATGTGGCCCTGGGTCTCCCTGTGTCATCCTTTTGCCCACTGCCTAGACCCCTTCTGCCCATTGGCTGGAATACTCAAGGAACTACTAGTTCATGCCCTAAAAAAAGGAAACTCTCAAGAATCAAAGAGAAACGGGGCTTGGACTATTACTAGGGATGAGTTACTGCTGAAAACAACTTATCGACTCACAGCCAGATTTAGGGATCTGACTTCATTCCTTTTGCAAAATACATTTTGGCTAAATAACTGTGACATGATGTCATTTGAATTCTAACCATTTGACAGCTGACAAGGAAGGCACTTTCTGTCTGGACCACAAGGATGTCTGTACTAATCTTTGTGTTTTATTGTATGAAACGGAATGGCAGATTGGAGACGTTCATACAAAGGTACCTTTGCTTTAATGTCCCCTCTTACACGTCACAAACTCTAATCTTGGGGATCTTGTATTTTGCCTGGGCTTAGCTAGGTGCTTATGTTAACCAGTCTTTAAATCAAAGATGCTAAGACATATATTTTTTCAAATTTCAACATCTCCAAAATAGGTATGTGTCCTACCACCAGTGGCATACAGTAACACAGTAGTTTAATTGGAAGCATTTGTTTCTTTCTCAGTGCACGTGAATTAAGTGTGAGTCATACAAATGAAGGCATCTTAAAATTGAGAAAATATCGTTTGTGTGGAGAAGCATGCTAGGTTTTGGACAAAACTTGCTTTTGCTAAAAACAATAACTACATCAATATATGTTATCACTCTTAACTTATAGATGAGAAATCTGATGCCCAGAGTGTTAAGAAAAGGTTTTGCTCATGATTACCTAGTACGTAGGAGGAAGAGTTAGGGTGGGGTTCTCATTACTATTGCAGATTATATATTTACTGCAAAACAGTGTTGTAAAACAATAATTGTTTTATGTTGCATGATTTGTTTTTGGTCAAGAATTTGGGATGGGCTTGGCTGGGTGGTTCTCACTTGGAGTTTCCCATGCCCTTGTGGTCAGATGTCAGCTGGGTCATGGACTTTTGAAAGTGCACAGGGCCTACATGTGCATCCAAGATGGCGGCTCTCAGGGTTTTTGGCTGATGCCGGGAGCTCAGCTGAGGCTACAGACAAGAGCATCCACCAGGGACTTCTTTGGCTTGACAGTCTCTGTGCTTTCCCTGGAATAAGTATGCTCAGAAAACCAGGCAGGAGCTGCATAAAGCAGTCACAAGCCTGCACAGACTCAAGGAAAAGTCATATATCCCATCTTTCATTGGAAAGAATATCAAGGAACAAGACCATTTTGTTTTTAAACAAATGGGAACAGATGGGAACCTCATTCTGACTGGTACCAAGACCCCATATTTGGAATGACTTGTCTGGTGCCTAGGAACAAAGCAAGAAAAACAGAGTGTGAACTAATTATGATGAAGAGGATTTTTAAACAAATGCAAGAAGGTTCATCAGGTCACATGTAGCTTCATTTTCAATGTATTTACTTTGGAACCTCAAACACTGGTCCAGCATTGCTCCCATTGTTCAGAACATATCTAGAGCTTTCTGGGAAGTGATTTCAGGGCCAATTTAGCAGGTTCACAAGAAACATCAGGCTTAGAATTGTGTCAGCTATACCTTATTTCTAACCTAAAATGGCTTTTTGTAGTGTAGCAAATATTTAGTGATCACCTGCTACAGAATGTTCTGGTTTCTGTGGATTCCTTGATGAACAAAACAATACCTCATTCTTCACTCGGCTTACATTTTGCTGGAGGACGCAAAAAATAACCAAATTTGTAATAACATCCACAAGTCATCAGTACTACAGATAATGATAGGCAATGAGGGACGGGGGAAACTCTTTTAAAGGGAGTGGTCAGAAAAGGCCTCTCTGAGAGTTGACATCTGAGCAGAGAGCCAGGCAGATGTGCAAGGAAGAGAGAGTGTTCCAGAAAAGGAAAATGGTATGTCCAAAAGCCCTGAAGCCACACTGGTCTCAGATATGTCTGGCCCACAGCAAGGAGGACAGTATGGAAAGTAGGATAAATAAGGGGGGAAAGTGGCAGAGGAAGGGTGCACCTGGGGTTCACTGAGGACACAGAAGGCACTTAGGATTTTAATCTGAGATGAGAGCCATGGGAAGATTTTGAGTGGTTTAGTCCCATGCTTTGGTTCACATTTTTAAAGGATTCCCTGGCCGCCAATGGGGGGATGAAGGATAGAGTAGAAACAGGAAGATAGATTAGGAGTCTCCTACAGCAAATCAGGCTAAAGGTGGTGACAACTTTGTTTGAACTGTCCTTGGTGGTGAAGGTAAGTAGGGAGTAAAAAGAGCAGATATTTTGAAGGAAGGTTCCATGGGATTTGCTAATGGACACACCTACCAGTTGATCCTTTAAACCCATGAACAAGGTATATTTCAATATATTGCTTAGTGGCTGCCCAAATTAGAGTGGGACCTCGACAGAGGTGGCAACTTGGGTGGTAGAAAATGAGAGACCCAGGCTACACCGGTTCCCCTCAAACACTAGCTGAGGATCTTGACCCTCACTGCACAGAAGGGGCAGAAGCTCAGGCAATAGCCCTTCCTTCTCACTCTCACTCTCTGGCAAGAAAGGTATGAGGAGAGTCAAAGAACAAACCACTAGTTGGAAAGACCCTCTCAAAAAAGGAGTTCACAGATAAGTCTAGAGCCTTCAAAGGGGGCTGCCAGGAGACACGCGAGCCCATTTGCATGGGCAAGTTTGGGTATTTCGGCCATTCAGTTGTTGACACGACTTGGTGGTCACAGCCCCTCCTTTGCAAGCCAGCGTTCTCTAAGGAGCCTTTTTTTGTCAAAAAGAAACCACCATTGTGTCTGCTTTGAGACAGATTTTAGGGGGAGTTTCATGCTCCATGAGCCTCAGTAGTAAAAGGGTCAAGGTGCTGCTTAAATACCACAAGTGGCCCAATGATGGGATCCAAGATGCAAACCCAAGCCTTATAATAGTGACTACTTTTCTTTTAATTTTACTTTGACAAGCACATCTGCAGCCAATTACAATGTGTCAAGCAATGTTCTAATCATTTTATAAAATGTTTAGGCATTTAATGATCCTAACAATCATATGAATTCAGTATCACTATTATCCTTTATTTAATAGTCAATACACAGTTACTGAGCATTTTATACATGAGAAAAGTGAGTCACAGACAAGCTAAGTGACTTGTCTAAAGTCATGTCACAGAGTCAAGATCAGAACCCAGGAATTCTTGCTCTGGAACTTTGGCACATAAGTAACATGTTAAGCTGCTCTACACTGTGCTTTGTTGGAAATCTCTCTATCTATCAGAAATAATTTCAGCTGTAAATAAGAGACAATCCAAATTAGAGTGACTTAAACAATAGGACATGTTGTACATAACAAGAAGTCTGAAGATAGCCATCTGTCTTAAGCTGATGGAACAGTTCAACAACGCTATTAAAAAATCCAGACCTTTTCTATCTTTGCTGCTCCACTATCTCAGTCTATTGACTTGTCACCTCATAATTACAAGATGGCTGCTGCACATCCAGGTATCACATCCAAGATCCAGGGAGGAAGAAAGGAAAAGAGTAATAAGCTTCCTTTGCAATGGGCTTTGCCTTTTTCTTTAGAAAGAGACTCCCTCCTCAGCATACTGTTCCTAACAAGACTGGGTAACTTGCCTGCCATTACCATATCTAGTTTAAACCAGTCATGATTCATCTCACCAGGTTGGGATAAGAGTCTGACTTCCCTGAGACCTGAGGCCTCCTGCCGACCCGTTGAACATATTGACGTTCTGTACAGTGGGAGGCAATGGTTTTGAGGTAACAAGAGACAGCATTTGCCATGGGTGTTAGTACCCCATGATGGGAACATTGCAGCTAGAAGGCACAAGGTTAAGATCGCATGACTGACAATGTGGCAGCTCCAGAATACTAATGCAGGCCCATCTAGCTCTAAATATCATTATTTTAAATGTGAAGTAGTACATTGCTAAGTGGAGTCGAGAACGGATGGACACACATTTGGCTTTAAGTGAAAGTTGTAGCACCCCGAACAAGTTACTTAACCTCCCTAAAGCTCAATCTACTTATCTCTAAATTGTGGCTAGTAATGATGTGAACCAAGGGGCAGCTGTGAATGTAAAATGAAATAATATATGCAAAGACCCTGACAATACTAAGCAATGAATAATTCTTGGCTATTTTTATTATTGTTGTCACTGCTATTATTACTCGTTACCCTACTAGACTTTGTAGCTACAGTGGCCTTGTACTCAGATTAGAATACCATTTTGGGCGTCTTTGGGCAATCTGGTAATGGCAGTCAGTAGTGGGTAGGCCTGAAAGTGAGGGGAGGTGTTCCATACAATACTATCTACAGATTTAAGAATCCTCCAGCTTGTCTTGCTTGAATGTCGTGAATCAAGGATTGATGCTTCAAAATACAGGTCTGCAGATCTACAAGGCACAATAGTTTAGTTTTAGTCTTGGTTCTGTTACTAGTAAAATGCTGTTTGGTCAGAAGTATCTCATTTTTCGTTTTGCGACCTTTGTGTTTTCATCTGTATGGTGAAGTGGTTTTTCCATTATTGGTATTCAGTGTGTAGTGGACACTAATTGAGCAACTATTATACTCACAGTGCCATGGAAGCCACAGAGGAGCAGTGATAGGGGATGTGGATCTCACACTCAGAAAGTTTAGAGGCTTAGGAATCTTCAGTGTTTCTTTCAGCAATAACATTTAATAACATTAGCCAGAAGGCAAGGCTAATAACCCCGGACCCAAAGATTTATTCTGCTATTCTGCGGGTTAATCATGTTAGTGACATTGTAACAAAAAAATCTCTGAATAAATACAAAAAACAGAGCTATGGCAGTTTCCTAAGGAGCTAAACATAGTCTTACCGTGTGATCCAATAATTGTGCTCTTTGGTGTCTACCCAAATGAGTAGGGTTCCTGTTCCCACAAAAACCTATGTACCAATGTCTGCAGCACCTTTATTTGTAGTTGACAAAAATTGGAAGCAACTAAGATGTCCTTCAGTAAGTGAATAGATAAACAATCTGTGGTATGTCAAAATCCCAGCAAGTTATTTTGTAGATACCTACAAGCTGATTCTTTTATAGCGAGGCAGAAGACCCAGAATAGCCGACACAACACTGCAGAAAAAGAACACACAAGCTGGAGGACTGACACTACTCAACTCCAGTACTTCCTATAAAGCTACGGTCATCAAGATGGCGTGGTATTGGCAAAAGAATAAACAAGCAGATCAATGGAACAGAACGTAGAACCTGGAAACAGACCCACATATATATAGTCAATTGATCTTTGACAAAGGAGCAAAGAGACTACAATGGAGGAACGATATTTTTTTTTCAACAAATGGTGCTGAAACAATGGACCTTCATTTGCAAAAAAAGAATCTAAACATAGATCTTAAACCCTTCACAAAAATTACCTTAACATGCATCATAGACCTAAAAGTAAATTAAAAATGATAAAACTCTCGGAAGATAACAAAGGAGAGCATTCTAGATAACCTTGAGTATGGCAATAACTTTTTAGATACAACACCAAAGGCACAATCTATGAAAAAACTAATTGATGAGTTGGACTCCATTAAAATTAAAAATTTCTGATATGCAAAGACACTATAAAGAGAATGAAAAGACAAGCCATTGCCTGGGAGAAAATATTTGCACAAGACATGTCACTTAAAGGAATGTTATACGAAGTGTACAAAGAACTCTTAAAACTCAAGAATAGGGAAATGAGCAACTCAATTAAAACATAAGCAAAAGACCTGAGCAGGCATCTCATCAAAGAAGGCGTACAGATGGCAAATAAACATATGTCATCAGGGAAATGCAAATTGAAACAACAATTAGATATGGCTACACACCTAATAGAATGCTGAAATCCAAAACATGAATACCAAATTCTGGTGGAGGATTTGCAGCAACAGGGACTCTCATTGTTGGTGGGATTGCAAAATGATGGAGCCACTTTGGAAGACAATTTGGCAGTTCCCTATAAAACAAAACATATTCTTACCATAAGATCTAGCAACAGAATGTCTTGATATTTACCCAAATAAGTTGAACACTTACATCCACACAGAAACCAACACACAAATGTTTATAGCAGCTTTATGCATAATTGCCAAAAACCTGGGAGCAACCAAGAGGCCTTTCAGTAGGTGACAGGGTAAAGAAACTGTGGTACATCCAGACAAAGAAATATTATTCAGCACTAAAAAAGAATGAGGTGTTAAGCTATGAAAAGACATGGAGGGACCTTAAATGCATATTACTAACTGCAAGAATCAGTCTGAAAAGGCCACGTCCTTGGGAGGCCAAGGGGGGCGGATCGTGAGGCCAGGAGATCGAGACCATCCTGGCTACCATGGTGAAACCCTGTCTCTACTAAAAATACAAAAAATTAGCCAGGCATGGTGGCGGGCGCCTGTAGTCCCAGCTACTTGGAGGCTGAGGCAGGAGAATTGTTTGAACCCAGGAGGCGGAGCTTGCAGTGAGCCAAGATGGCACCATTGCACTCCAGTCTGGGCGACAGAGCGAGACTCTGCCTGCCTCAAAAAAAAAAAAAAAAAAAGAAAAAGAAAAGGCTGCATCCTATGTGATTCCAACTGTGTGATTCTGAAAAAGACAAAACTGTGGAGATTAGTGGGTTGACAGGGGTTAGGGGGAGAGAGAGAGTAATGGGGAGAGATAGGGGAAGCACAGGGGAATTTTAGGACAGTGAAACTACTTTGTATGATATTATAATGGTAGGTACATAACACTATGCATTTATCAAAACCCACAGAACTATACAACATGAAGAGTGAAGCCCAATGTAAACTATGGACTCCAGTAACTCTTAGTGTATCAATATTGGTTCATAAATTGTAACAAATGTACCATATTAATTCAAGATTCGAACAATAGGGAATATGGAGGGAGAAGAGGAGAATATATGGGAACTCTATACTTTTGACTCAATATTTTTGTAAGCCTACAACTGCTCAAATAAACAGCCTATTAATTTACATGCACACAGAGAGCTGAGCAACAGTCATATCCTTTGATCGAATGATTCCACTGCTGAGATCTTCTTGAAATACAGGACATAGTAGGAGGAAAACTTTATTTACAGAAGGGGAAGAAAGTCAGCAACCTGTAGTTCATCACAAACAACCAAATGGATAAAAGCAAATTTCAAAATGGTAGTTGAAAAGGTTATGGAATAACGTGGACAATGCTTGTGGAAAAATGCAAATAGAAAAAAAAATTGGAAATCACCTTAAGATAACATATAAAAAAAAAAGAAAAAAAGAAAATAAAATATCCCAAAAACAAAACAAAACAAAAAACCCTAATTAGCCAAGCTTGGTGACCGGTGCCTCTAGTCCCAACTACTCGGGGGGTGCTGAAGTGGGAGAATTGCTTGAGCCCAGGACGTCGACGAGGCTGCAGTGAGCCATGTTTGCGCCGCTGCACTGCAGCCTACGCAACAAAGTGAGACCCTGTCAACACTTGTATAAATGGACACAAATGGGGTATAGCACATTGGTAATGACAATTGATAGTATGTTACCAGGGGCATGAAATTAGGATAACTATTTTATTCATTTTTTCAATTTCTTATAATATGTTTGATTTATCTTCTAAAAATACGTATGAGGTCTCAAATATATATATATAGTCTACGAATCCTACAGTTAGGGGAAAAAGGACAAAAACCGGTAGTAAAGCCAGATGGCTAATAACAATAGCAGCACGTCCACCTCCTCCGTGACCATTTCTTAGGAACTCACTACGTGGAAGCCACTGTTCTTAGTACTAAGTTCTAACTAACCTGGGCTAACCCACTCAAAGCCCAGAGCTAGATAGCATGGGGTTGCTTACAAGCAAGTAAGAAACTGACCTCTGAACCACTGGCTTATTCAAAATATACTTATTGAGAACCCAGTAGAGTCACTAGGTGCTTCAAACATGCAAAGAAAAATGAGAAATAGACATTTAGAGAACAAGGATGGGAGGTTAAGAAACTACTTACTCACTCGCCTACTCAGCAAGCATTTATTTATTAATTCCTTACAAGAGGCTAGGCACTGAAGATACACATGATTAAATGTTATCTCTGGCCTTTAAGAACTACCACTCTACTCTCCTCAGAATCCTACCTCTTCCCAACCTGGGACATTCCTAATCGTGGACAGGCACGCTAACCGTTTAAGAGACTAGGACCACAGGCGTAAACTGAAGCTCCACCAGCAACCCTGGACGTGTGATCACCCTAAGTCAGACTCGGAAGTGCAGCTCCTGGAGGGCGGGAACCATCCCCACGACCCCCCTCTGCTCATTCTAGTTCACTTGAACTGACTTTTGGGGTCAGGAAATTTATTTTTGTCTCTACCCCATCCACCAACCCCACACCACCAAGCATTTCAGATCAAGTATCTGTGAATCATAGGCCAGGCTGATTCATTTCTTAAAGTTTCCGGGCTTTGAGAATGAAAATGGTATTGGTGGCTGGGAGGATGATAAACGCAGGGAACGTCAATGCGACTTGTTCTGCATTTATCTACCAAAATGCAAACCAGATCTGCCAGCATTTTATTAAAATGAGGAAGGCAGCTGCTGAAAACTTTGCAGTCAGAGAGGCTTGATACATGGAAACAATCACCATTCCTTTTATGTAAAAAACTAATGTATCATGTACACCTTCCTAATGACATTTTCTGTATTCGTGGTACTGCCTTTTTGGTTTATCTTAGTTAGTGTGAAAAAATGCCCAGCGTGGGTTTTTGGAAGCTCCGTTACAGACTCAGTGCTTATAAAATTATGGGTTATTTTTTCCATATGAAACAGGAAAAAGGAAATAAAAGAAATGTGGATTGAGCACCTATTGTAGAGTCTCATTTCACCCGCTGAAGCCCGAGCAGGTTAGAAAGCAGAGGCTAGGAGAGGGTTAGTCACCTACCCCAGCAAGCTCAGCAGCAGAAAAGCACCACAGGCTTTGGTCTCCTTTGGTAGAAACCTGCTCAACCAGGGAACACTTAACTAAAGGGGTGTTCAGGAACAGAAACTCACAGTAGGGGCAAAAAACAAAGTTCTGGGACTAGGGGAACCAAAACCCCAGACACTTAGCTGGGCTATGCCTCCCACGTGGCTTCACACCCACTTACACTGACCTTTCACCTTCAGAACCGCATTGAGTCTGCTGACCCATGTGAAACACCCAGCAGGGAACCATAACTCTTGCACTACATGGAAAGCCTGATTGGGCCCCCTAGGGAAACCCGCTGGCATCTGAATCAGATCCTGTGACCTCTGTGGTCCTGAGCCTCAAAGCAGGGGAATACCCTTTGCCGTGGATCCACCGCAAAGCCTCAGGGCCTAGGTGAGAAAATTTCACCTGTGAATCATGGTAGCTCAGCACCTTCTCTGGGTCTCTCTCAGAAGCCCCTGAAGGGCTTAGCATGTGTCACCAAGGGCCAGGACAGCTGCAAATTCTCCTGTGAAACAAGATTTCACGGGCTCTGTTGGTCTCTGAGGATGCCTCATCAATTCATGAGATGGCCTATTTGCAGGTGACAAGGCTCACAAATGCCAAATGAAACACTCATAAGTGAGTGTGGTTTTCAACTTTTCAGTGTCATTTTAGTGAATACCTGGCTCATTTGGAATTGTGGTGTCAATAGACGGAAGCCCAGAGAAGGTAAGTGACTTGCCTAAGAACACACAGGTAGAATTAAACAAGTTTGGAAGTAGAATTCAGGGAACCACAATCTTTTTTCCCATCATCATACCACCTTGCTTAGAACAGAGACACACCGAAGCAAAAGAAAAATATATATATTCATTTTAACTGGATGGCAAAATAGTAGGAAAGAGGAGGAAAATCTAAAGACAATACATTCCTTGCCACTCATGGACTCTTTGAGACATTGTCTCAGCTCAGAGCTCTGGGCTGGAGCTTGGAGCTTTATCAGGAATTACCTTTCCCCACCCCAACATGTAGTGAAGGGTGAGCTAACAGGACATTCTTTATGTCAATCCTGGTGGCAGTGTGTAGACCCAGTTATTCAGTCTAAGAGCTTCAGGCTGTGCACTGAGTCCATTGTGCAGATGAGAGAAGTAACGTCCTGGGAGAAGAAATGATCTGCTCAAGGAAACCCAGCTGACTTTGGGCAGAGCAGACACCAGATCACTGTGTCACAACACAGAGTGAGCGGTGGTCAACATCACTCCTCATCCAACCCTGTGGGGTTCCCAGAGCACAGGGCACTTCTCTAGACTGTGAGGACAAAGGAAACTCTGGTCCCTCTGGCAACCTTTCGAATTTTACACAATCTGTCTACTGGTTTGATATAATTTCTAAGGCAAGTGGCTCATTTTGATAAAATGAGTTGTAGCTATGAAAAGATAGCAGTGAACCTGGCTGGGTCTGTCAACTTACACGTGAGAAGGGATCTGGAAGTATAATGAATGGGAAAACAGATACATAATTTGTGTATTTGGTCCAAATAAAAGGTGGTTACATCCACATGATGCAATAAAACAATGTAGCAGTTAAAAAGAACAGAGTGGCTACCATGGATAGCACTCCTCAATATATTGCTGAGTGAAAAGGGGTAAACTGCAAAATACTCTACCAGAGGTGTACACAACAGTACTCAGTGTGTATATGCGCATGCGTGTACACTTAAATGAATTAGAGCAGTCTGCAAGAATGTGCTATAAAAGACAAGAAACGTGACCTACACAGAACTAATGAGGAGACAAGGATTGAGGATGGTGAGCTAAAAGGACTTTGGCCTTACGTGGAAAGTTTTTAATTTTTCCGAAATGAATGCAATCATTTAACATTTATGTAATAAACGTTTAATTTGTTTTAAAAAAGGAGAAAATAGAAATATAATTTTAACGATTCATCTATCTATTCCCTCACTATTTGAGCATCTATTATGTGCCAGGCATGAAAGAAGGTAAAAAAATCCAGCCCCTGCCCACAAGAATATGTTCTAACATAGAAGGAGGAGGTTTCCTGCTCATAAGCATGATGAGATGTATTACAAGTGCTCTGGTGAATGAAGAAGTCAGAGCAGAGTAGGAAAATAAAGAAAGGGATCTCCATGTTTCACAGGAAATTCAAAGGCCAAAAACAGAGTCCCCAGTCAATTCTGCCAAGACCTGCCATCTTGGAAAAAAATGAGTATTATGACAACAGTGTGCAGAAGGACACATCTTTTGTAATTGTAAAGTAATATCCATGATCCCTCATTTCAGCTAGAGTTCACAAATGAATATAATAGTGCAGCGGATAGTTTGCAGTTTGTAAACATTTAACCCCCATGAACGGAGAGAGATGGTTTTGTTGCTTTTTAAAGAAACTGACTCTTTGGCTGCATTTATCAGTGCATATGGTTTACTCCACTAGACTAGAAATGGCTCTGCCAAAATTGCTGCTTAAATTTGGGTTTCTAAAAATAACTCATGGGAAGCCTGCAGTGTGAGAGGAAGATGGTTGCACACAGCTCCAGCGAGGAAAATCTCAAGCATTTGATTTGAATTACCTAAGAGCTGAAATTGAGTGCAAATATCTCCATGTAGCAACTGCTATATGATTAGCCATCCTAATGCAATTCTTTCAAAACCAAGGCAGTTCAACAAGTTATTTTAATTGAAAATAAAATTTCCCAACCAACTATTCTGTCAAAACCACATTAAGTGAAGATAGTTAAGCAGTGACCAAATCACTAGAAAAAAGCATTATGTGTTATGGGAGAAATGAGCAGGAAAGGAAGAGGGGGATAGGCTTTTTTTTTTTTTTGGAGACAGTCTCGCTCTATCACCCAGGCTGGAGTGCCGTGGCACGATCTCGGCTCACTGCAACCTCTGCCTTCCGGGTTCAAGCAATTCTCCTCTCTCAGCCTCCCAAGTAGCTGGGATTACAGGCATGCACCACCACATCCAGCTAATTCTTTTTTTAATTTTTTTATTTTTAGTAGAGACGGGGTTTCACCAGATTGGCCAGGCTGGTCTCGAACTCCTGACCTTGTGATCCGCCCACCTTGGCCTCCCAAAGTGCTGGGATTACAGGTGTGAGCCACTGCGCCCCGCCAGGATATGCTTTTCTATATGGGTACAATGTGGCAGTTTTCTGGGCTCCTTTTTTCTAGCTTCATGTGTCTTCTGGTCTCTTGGAAAAGTATTCAATTTTCTCTGCATCGATGTTACTGCTGGGGCTATCACCTGAGTCCGGTGCGTCACTGTTTTCTGAAAAGAAGCAGCCAAGTGAAGATCTCAGAGATAAACAGGGGAAGAGAAGAGAAAATGGCACCTGCTTTCTGTCTCGCTCATGACTAGCACAAGGACACCTTCCATCCCAGGAGGGCCACATTCTCGGAACTTCTCTGCACCTGGGCTTTCATCTTTGCTACTTATCAGCTGTGCCGAGTTACGTTCAGCATCTCTGAGTAGCAGTTTTCTCATCTTAAAAAGAAAAAGAAAAAAAAAAATTGGTATTCTCACACCCCCTAGGATGGTCAGGAAGGTCAAATGTGTGCACAAGCAATCTGGTATTCTAGACAGTATCTGCGACTGCCTGTGTGTGGAGGGCTAGGGAGGGGACCAGACCCTTCCTCACCAGTTGAAATGGGATGGCGCATGAGAAGGACTAGGGAGGGTACTAGACCCTTCCTCACGAGTTAAAATGGGTTGATGCGTGGACCAGCGGCATCGGTACTGCCTGAGAGCTCATTACTAGAGTAGACCCACACCGAAAAATTGGTCAAAAATCTGTATTTAACAAGTACCCCTGGAGATTTGTGTGTGGTTCAAATTTGAGCCTCACTGGCTGGCTCCATCTCCCAGGTGGGAGATTCTATATTAGGTGACCTGTGTCAAAAGGAAGGGAGGGAGGAATGAAGGGATGGCAGGAGAAAAGGAGGGAGAATGGGGTCAATTAAATTAAAAAACAACAAAATTAAAAGATCTCTGAGTTACTAGTTATGTGGGTTTAGGTTAAAACGTCCTCTCAAGGAAATTTAGACCTTGAAGCTACCCTTTTTGCTTAAAGCCACATCATTGAGCTTGCGATCCCCATTCAGACCGAACATGTGGCCCCTCAGACTCATCACCATGTCTGCATCTAAAAATGCTCAGGTGGGCCGGGTGCGGTGGTTCACACCTGTAATCCAGCACTTTGGGAGGCCGAGGCGGGTGGATCACTTGAGGTCAGGAATTTGAGACCAGCCTGGTCAACATGCTGAAACCCCGTCTCTACTAAAAATACAAAAATTAGCTAGGCATGATGGTGTACAACTGTAATCCCAGCTACTTAGGAGGCTGAGGCAGGAGAATTGCTGGAACCCAAGAGGTGGAGGTTTCAGTGAGTCGAGATCGCACCACTGTACTCCAACCTGGGCAACAGTGAGATACTGTCAAAAAAATAAAAATAATAAAAATAAAAATAAAATAAAAGTGCTCAAGTGGACAAATGTGGTAAGGGAATGTCTCATGCTACAGAAAGCTACCTGATTTATTTTTCCCCAAACCGCTAGGCACTGTGGTTAACCAACCTTCTAAAAACCCCAGCGGTGCCTGCCTCCAGCCCATTTCGCTTGGTTAAGAAAGGAAACATCTCTTCCAGAAGATTCTGAAATTCTAGTTTCCTGGGCCTCGCGGTGACTAAAATGGAGTTGGGGGGAAATGACTCTTAGACTTTCTGTCAGTGTAAGTGGAAATTGAGAATGAGACACAAAATATAAAGTGACATATAAAATCCTAATTTTGGAATAAGGAGCCCTGGCGATGCTCAGCTTATAAGGCACTTTTAAAATCCTTACTGGGAGGAACTATAATGAAAACTTGATTTTAAAAACAGGGAGGTGGAGGCTCTGCAAGGTTGAGTGGCCAAATTAGGAATTGAGCGCTGTGTTTTCCATCCCACGCATGCCTGTTCTACGGCCCAGTATCCGTGTCCCCAGCCACCTTCCAGAAATGATCCAGTCACGTGTTAGAAGAATTACACTATGTCTTTGTGGTCTTTGTCACTGAGTCTTCACCTGAAAATTGATTCTACTGATGAAGGGAGTAACGGTGATGCTCCCTTGGATAAAAGCCCAGCTTCGGAGCCAGATACTTTTGGATTCAAATCATGGCCCTGCTACTTATAACTAACTTTTGGTAAATTGACCCCTCTGAACCTCTCAGTTTCTTCATTTTAAAAAATGGCAACAATAATAGCTAATAAGTATCAAGTGCCATTCTAGGCACTTTATGTGTATTAACTATGTGAGCAGGTGCAATATACTATTATCATTCTTCATGTAGAAATGAGAAAGCCAAGCTACAAAAAATCAAGTGACTTTCCCAAGGCCACATGGCTGCTAATCGTCAGAACCAGGATTCTACAGGAGCCTGTGATGGAGCAACATCAGTGCTCTCAGAGGGCTGCCAAGAGATATCTATGAGATCGTGGAAATAAAACGCTTCCCAGGCCACCTGGCAAAGATAAGTGCTCAACAAATTATAACTACAAGGTTTCCACTTCTTTTGTTTTTATTTATTTATTTATTTATTTATTTATTTATTTATTTATTTATTTATTTTTTAGACAGAGTCTCAAATCTGTCTCTCAGGCTGGAGAGCAATGGCATGATCATAGCTCACTATAGCCTTGACCTCCTGGGCTCAAGCGATCTTCCCACCTCAGCCTCCTAACTAGCTGGGACCACAGGCATGTGCCACCAAACCTGTTTTTTTTAATTATTATTATTATTTTGACTTTTATAGAGACGGGAGTTGCCTTAGTTGCCCAGGGTGGTATTAATCTTCTGGCCTCAAGTGATCCTCCCGCTTCAGCCTCCAAAATTTCTGGATTACAGGCATGACCTGTTGCACCCATCCCAAAAATTAATTTCTTGAGCTAGCCAGAAAGACAAGGTTACTATGGCATCCATGTGGCTGATAAGAAGGGGAAGTTGCTGCTTGCAGAAGTGCTTCTCTCTGACAGGTTTTCATCCCCACCTGTCCTCAGCAGGCATTCTGCTTTGACACCATGGTGCAGGGCAGGGACTTTGGTGCTCTGCCCTTTGAATCTTTCTATTGATTTCTCTCACGCAGAACCTGCATGGGAACCTCAGCTGGAGCAGCTGGCGCGGAAATGGGTCTCATGTCTGCCTGGCAAAAAGAATTGCCGTTTCCAAAACGAGCTGGCCGGATCTAATCCCCAAAGCAATGGACATGTATGAGTGACTCACTGCTTCTGAAATTCTCTGCAAATCCAACAGATGTGGGGGAAGATCTCTGGTATAGAAGAGGCAGCGTGCATGCAAAAAATTGGTAAATGTAGAACTCTGATATAGAAGACTCTGTTGGCTGCCAAGTTACTGATCCGCCACTGCTCTCTTCTTCTTTGTTAAAATATTCCCAGTTCTGTTTGGGGATAAGGCCGATGGCAATGTGCTCAAAAGAAGTCTATGGCAGGGGGAAGAACTGGCCCTGGCTTGAAACAGCCATGACAATCTTGTTATCTCTGTCAGGGACTGTCTGGGAGCTTACCTGGCCCAGTTTGGTCAGTGAGACATAGGGGAAGTCTACTGGGGATTTCTGGGGAAAATTTTCTTCCCTGATAGAAGACAGGGAGTCACAGTAAAAAGGCCCCTTTTTCCCTGCCTGATGCTTTTGCCTGCTCAAAATGCTGTTATGACAAAGTGATGTCTGCAGCAGAAAGGGCCATCACAGGGATGCTAATCAAGTGCGCTGATGCGGTTGAGCTGTCAAATGCGTCCTTTTTGATGCATCTGCCAATACCAGGTGCTGGCGAGGAGAGAGGGAAACAGAAACCCCTGAGCACTGCCTGTGGAAGTGTAAATTAGTACAGTCATTCTGGAACACAATCTGGCAGTACTTGCGAAATTAAGTGTGAGTGTGCACTATGACTCACCCGCATCACGGTCCATATCAGAGAAACTCTCCCACAGTCCATATGGGCACAGGTGTGAAGAGCTCATCACAGAACTAGGCTGTGGTTACCTAATGTCCACTAGCAGCAACAGGAGAAGCAAACAGGGCAGGAACTATGGCAAGGGCAGGGTAGATGCAGTCCCTCAGATGAACCAGGTGAACACAGAGCACCAAGACTGGCTCTGAAAAAGAGGGTTGAGTAAGCAAAAAAACCAGATTGAGGTCTACAGCAGAATCCCATTTGTCTACATTAAAAACAGATACCCAATCAGAACAAGACAGGGAGGATCCTCACGCAGGGCCTGTAGCAAGCACACCGGAGTGGCTGCCTATGGAGGAGGGAAGGGAATGGGAATAAAAATTCCACACTGGTCTCCTCATTTCCTCTTGTAACAGAGGAGGCAAGTGGCCGGGGGTAAAGGGCCTGGTAGAGATCCATGATGATGATAATGACAATGAACAAAGAAGGCATTTATAATAAAATTCAAAAGAAAAAAACACAGCCAGATTTAGAGTCAGAGAACCCAGGTATGAATGCTGCCTTGATCCTTCCTGGCTACGACTCTTTGGCAAATCACAGTGCCTCAGTTTCCCCATCATGAAGAGCAGGTTTGAGGAGTGACTCTGCAGAGCTATTATGTGAGCATCCAAGGAGATAGTGTGGGGAGCTTCTGAGCTTGGAACGTAGCAGGGGCTTCCTGGATGGCAACCGTGAGGAGCCCTAAGGACTCAGCTCTCTCCTCTATAAAATGGGGATTATTACATTACCCACCCAGCGTGATTATGGTGCAGATGAAATGAAACATGACAATGAGGGACAAAAAGCAAGATCATGACACCCAGGAGCACCTCCTGTCCTGACCTCTGTGTGCAGCGGTCTGCGCTGTGCTCATGCCTGATACAGCAGCGGGGGTCAGGCTGTCCTTCCGTGATATCATTCCTGGGGGAATATGGGCCTTACACATTCAATATATATATTCCCTTTTACTTTATTCTATGCAAATGACTGGAGTTTAACTGAATAAGACAAGTTATGAAAAAGAGAAGAGATGAGAAGAAAGAAGAGAAAAAAGAAGCTGTCATGCTCTTATTATTCCAAGCAGGGAAAACCTTCATTTTTCCAGTGAACAGCTAGCCTCTCCCTAGACAGGCTTTCTGTAATCTCAGGAAGGACGCAATGCCTTATGTCATTATCACATCACAGGTTGTCACTGCTCTCCTTAAGGTGCTACCTCTTCTCCACCAGGACCCTTCAGATGTCTGGGAAAGATTCCGTGAAACAGAAGGACCGTGTGTCCCTGGAGTCCGCTTTGTTTCTAATTTTGCCCTTAAGTGCAATAGGCTGCAAGAACCCCCTTTGGCACACAGCTTTCTCGTTTTCTGGACACTCTCTTCTAAATAAACTTCCCAAATAGGGTTAGAAGGTCAAAGGAAGGCTTTGATGCCTCTTGACAAATTGTTACTCCAAAAGAACAAATTATGCTGCCACTGGCAATGGAGGCATATGCCAGGCTCTGACACATTCTTAAAATAAACCCCAAAACCGGCTAGGCGCGGTGGCTCACTCCTGTAATCCCAACGCTTTGAGATGCCAAGATGGGCGAATCATGAGGTCAGGAGATCAAGACCATCCTGGCCAACATGGTGAAACCTCGTCTCTACTAAAAATACAAAAATTAGCTAGGCATGATGGTGTACAACTGTAATCCCAGCTACTTAGGAGGCTGAGGCAGGCGAATTGCTGGAACCCAGGAGGTGGAGGTTTCAGTGAGCCGAGAAATCATGCCACTGCACTCCAGCCTAGTGACAGAGCAAGACTCCGTCTCAAAACAACAACAACAACAAAAACACAAAACCTATTCTAATTTTTAGCAACCTGATGGGGGAGGTACATTACCATTGTCTGGTTCTGGTGAACATCACTGTGACTCTCAGGGACCCCAAGTTCACTGATGTGCTATTTTCCTCTTACGAGGTCTGTGTAAGGGCACCCACATCTTGCTAAAGTGGATTTTCTGCATAGAAAGAGACCTCTTTCACATAGGCAGGCCCGAGGGGTGGAGCGGTGGATGGGACAGTGAGAAAGTCAGGGAGAGGAGAGTGGGAACCTAAAGCCTCCTGGGAAAGAAGGAAAAACAGGAACAACAAATGAAAACGTTTGTGTAAAAAACTGCAAAAGAGAAAAAAAAAAATCCCACGTCCACTGAGGACACATCTCTATAAAATGTATGCACGCACAGCAGGAAGAGGGGGCAAGAGGCCAAGCAGACACGAAGGCAAGAGTTGTAATTGGGTGAGATGATGGTTCTGGGGTTTGGGCATTCTTTAAAAGTGTTTTTATAGATGTGGTTATATTGATTTTCAAATAAGATAACCAAAAAAAACACAAAGTATGTTAGTCCAAGAATAGAAAAATAAGAGCAGAGTCAGGAGAGGAAAGGCAGTAAATGAAATGAAATAAGGGCATGAAGACAGCAAGATCAGTCTCTTCCATCCTTAAAACCCCTCTGGGGCATCCCTCAGGGCTAAGGATAAGGTCGAGTTCCTTCCTGCAAGCAGGGAGGTCCCACATCACTCTTCCAGCCCCATCCCTGGTCACTGGTCACAGGTTGCTCCAGCTCGCCCCTAACTCCAGTTCTCCAGCCCAGGCCTAGGTTGGGATCTCCACAGAGCATTCCTCTGGCCCCTCTGTTGGGTTAATCCCCACACCTCCTTCTGGGAAGAGCCTAAACATCCGTTCCCCTGGGAAGCCTCCCCTTTCCCCTAAAGTCGAATCGCTGCCTAGTCTCATCTTGCCAAGATACCCTGTGTGTTCCTTTTCTGAGTTTCCCACTGCAATGGCTTGTACTGAGCTGCTCCAGACCTTTTGATTAGAAGTCTAACCATTTCAGGAAGGGGACATCACATGGGGACTGTGCCAGCCATGGAAGGAAGGACGGGCCTGGGAGACAGGACAGGAAGAATGATCTGGACAATGACCATTAGACAACTCCATGTCAGTTTTCCCCTTCTATTCTCTAGCCCCACACAGCCAATCCAATCAACTCTTCAAAAACTTATTTCTCAAGTGCCTGTTATCACCAAGACATTGTGATGAGAAATTGCAAAACCCAGGCCATTCCTTGAGTGTATAACCTAGTTAGGGAGTTGAGACTTCAACATGAGGATTGTTAGATAACCATGCAGCAATGAAGTGTAAGATAAAACAAGATTGTCAAAGATTAATTGAGTGTGGGCACTGTGTGGTCTGGGTTCAGGAGAGCAGGGTCACTGTGGCTGCAAAGGAAAGTCCTCTGAGAGCCAGATTTAAAGGATACCCACAGGACAGGTAGGTGTGCAGGGGGTGGGGTGAGAGGATAGAATTCAGTGATCAAGGCCTAGAGCAGGGAAGGGGTACTGCATGCTCAGTGGCCAGCAAGAAGTCCCCTGAGGAAGGGTGTGTTAGGGTCAGAATTTTGAGACCCTTAAAACCCAAGCAGAAGAATCCACCCTAGAAATAGATGAGTGAAGACCCCATAAAGCAGTGCAGCTGATGAGAATCATTTTTGAGGATAGATGCTCAGAACAGACTAGAAAAAGATCCAGTTGAGAACCTCCTATGAAAGTGAAAGCAGGAAGACAGGCATGTGGTACCAGAGCTGCCACCTACCACCTACAGGCATGGTGGTCAACACCAATTCATTACAGCCCAATTTCCTACAGGGCCCAGTTGGAACCTCAGAGTTGTTTCCCATTCAGGGCCAAGAAAACTCCTACCAGTGGATCCAGAGTGACAGTTCAAACTTATTCTGCCTTGCAGGTTGTATCAGTATTAGTCAGAAGTGACGCTGTTACACTGCACTAACATGTCTTTCCAAATTTTAGTGGTTTAAAGCAACAAAGATTAATTTCTTTTTTCAGCTGCATGTTCATCACAGGTCAACCTGAGATCATGCTCAATCTCAGCATCATCCAGACCAGGCCAGTGTGGCAGCCTCTACACACAGCACTGCTCAGCAGCAGGCCAGAAAAGAGAGTGACCTCTGGAGGGTTTCTCACTAGAATTCCAACATGAAGGACAGAAATGACATGTCAATTCTGCTCACTACTCCTTGGCCAGAATTGCTCACTATGGGCAAGAAAGTTCAGTCTTACTCTGCGGAAGGCAGAGTCAGAAACAATAAATGGCCTAAGTATATCCCCTTTCAGGTCACATGGAATTTACTATTCATCCATTCAAATAGCAAGAACTTATTTTAAAATGGCATGCTCTGCATCCAGCCACTTTCCTTCTCATTATCTTGTTCTATTTTCTTCATAGTAATTGTCACTATCTGAAATATCTTAACTGAAATGCCTTAATTGTTTAAGGATCTGTCATCTATTGTTGCCTGTCTCACAGACCAGGTTCTAAGCTCCATATCTGCTTCGTTGGCAGTGTGGGGCACATAGTAGGATGCTCAGCAAATATTTGTGAAATGAGTAGGTGAATGAAGAGGTTCCACAGGGAAGGGACTCTGTCAGCTTAATTTAGTGTGCACAATGTCCAGCACATAGTCGGAACTCAGTGGGCTGCTGAGAAGTTAGCCAGCTTTTCATGTGTCTACTTGAAGTGAAATGACTCAGCACTCCCTCCCCTCTAGGTGCATTTCCTCTCCCTTTCCCCCTATAGGGACTTAAGCTGAAGACTGGTCTTGACAGATACTATGCCTATTAATTTCAAACCTGAGACCTCCCAACTAACCTTTCTCCTTACCCTCAGGGATCACGGCCAGGTTTCAGACTGGCCTGAGAACATAGGGACCAAAGGGAAAAAACAGCCAAAGTGAAAGAGAAACGAAGAAGAGACTTCTGGCTGGGCGTGGTGGTTCACACCTGCAACCCCAGCACTTCGGGAGATTGAGGTGGGTGGATAGCTTGCGGTCAGAAGTTCGAGACCAGCCTGGCCAACATGGTAAAACCCTGTCTCTACTAGTAACACAAAAATTAGCCAGGCGTGGTGGCTTGTGCCTGTAATCCCAGCTACTCTGGAGGCTGAGGCATGAGAATCACTTGAATCCGAGAGGAGCAGATTGCAGTGAGCTGAGATCGCACCACTGCACTCCAGCCTGGGAGACAGAGTGAAATTGTGTCTCGAAAAAATGAAAATAAAAAAGAAGAGACTTCTGAGGGGGATGTAACCAGCCCTTGCACACGCATGCAC